CCCAGCTGAAGATGCCCGCCTGGAAGAGCCTGTGGGTGCCCCGGTTAGCACACACCATGGGTGCCCCGCTGTCTCCCTGGAAATGAGAAAAAAAGCAACAGTCTGGGAGATGCCTAGGGGTCTCCAGCCAGAAGACATGGGGTCAGGGGTCCCCTGGGAACCCAGAGAGATGGCACACATGTGAAGCCAGGGTCCCTGTGGGGCTGAATACCCAGTAGTTGCCATTGGTGTCCAGTTCCTGCCAGGCACAGAGCATCTTACTGGACAGCTTCTCCACCCTCGCCGAGCATGCTTTCCAGCTGATCTGGGTCACCCTCAGCTTCTGTAGCTGCATGTTCCAGCCACTAGACGTGCCTGACCAAGGGAGGAAGCCAGTGTGAGAGGATCATGGCATTGGCCACCAACAGCAACCAGCCCCCCACTGGCCAAGGTGACAGCCCAGGAGGGCTGAAAGGCCCAGTAAGTCACCTTGCAAGGTCCCTCTCAGAAGCTCCAACAGGTATTCCTTGTTTAGTGTCTCAATATGGGATGCTCCCTCCCTCCAGGAGCAACCCACAAAAGCCACACCCAGCCCCTGCCAGGGCACCAGGAGGAGCTTCCTCCATGGTCACTGTTCCCCTGCAGCCAGGCTTTGGCCTGTGCAGGGTGGAGAAGAGCTCAATCTCAGAATCAAGGCGTCTAGGCCTCTACCAAGCCACTTGGAAAAACCAGAAAGAGAACATGGCTGGAACTCTTGGCCTTTGCCCCATCCTGCCTAGCCTAACCCTCCCTCCTAGCCTGGAGTCCCACAGGGATGGGGGTGGAGTCATTAGTTCCTGTGGTCTAGCGAACCCTGGCTGCAGTTTTCCCTAGATGATGGTCTATATCATGTGCTCAGTGGAGGGGGGATGGACATTCTCAGACATATCCTGAAGGGAGAATCTAAGCAATTTTATAGAGAATCCATAAAAATTATCATTGTTGTCCTGTTTTACAATTTTTCTATGTATCGGGCATTTTTATTCTATTTTTTTCCCATAATTTGTATCGAACTCAGGGCCTTTGCACTAAGCTACCCTCCTAGCCCTTTTTTAAAAAAATTTTTTTTTAAATTTTAAGACAGAGTCTCACTACATTACTAAGTTGCCTAGGCTGAACTTGAACTTGTGATCCTTCTGCTTAGCCTTATCTGTCCTAAGCTTTCAATGGGCTCTTACTTGTATAATTCCATTAACTTAAACCACATGGCATACTTGGGGAAGACATTACTGTCATTACATAGATGAGAAGAGATGAAGGAGAAGAAGGAAGGCGAAGAGCCAAGTGGGGGTGCACACTCCTCTTTCCCCAGCACTCTGGGAGGCTAAGGCAGGATTGCAAATTCAAGCCCAGCCCGGGCAACTTAGCAATTTACTGAGACCCTGTCTCTAAATAAATAAATAGCTCTAGGGATGTAGCTTAGTGTAAAGGCCCCAGGTTTGATCCCCAGTACTAACAACAAAAAAAGGTGGTGAAGGATCTTGTTCCAAATTCGGATCCAAGTCTTCCCTCATCCAAAGCATTATGCTGCCTACTCCAGGGCAAACTAACTGTGGGCCTCCCCCGAGCTCTGAAGGGAGACACATACCATACCCATAAGCCGATACCCACTCTGCCATCCAACAGTGGTCCCAGGACGCCTCCTTCCCCAGCAGGCAGACGGGCATTTTAAAGCTAGAGAATTGAACTGGTGTGGCCAGCAGGAGCAGGGCCAGGTCACTGTCCAGGTGGGGTGGCCTGTAATCTTTGTGAGTAATGATCTTCTGCACTTGCTTTCTCTCCCAGTGGATGTCACTGAATGCTTTGGCTCCCATGACCACAGTGACATTTACCGCTGCCATTTCAAATCTGAAGAATGAATATACAAACATCAGGGCTAACAACAGTCATGGGGCATTGTACATAGGTAGACTCATTCACAACACGTAGACTCATTTACAACTCTAAATACTGAGAAATCCAGAGAAGCAGGTGTACCCTGGTGGCTTCGGGAGTGGCTAGACATCAGGTGGGTAGGGGTTGGGGCTCAGACACCAGCAAGTATCTCTGAGCTGGAGAACCATCTGCCCAGGCAACCCCAGGCCATGGAAATGGAATGGATCTGTCCCAGAGAAGAGAACGGGAGTTCCTTGGCAACTGAGTGCTTGACTGTCTTATCAACTGCTGAATCCCCAGCTCCTGGAACAGCACACAGTGGGAGCTCCCTGAGTGCATGCTCAGTGAATAACCCAGTGTGCTCCCTTTGTATCAGAAGGCGGGGAGAAGGGAAGCTCGTGCTGAAACTCCAGTACTAGCAGCCACCTTTGTACATGGTTGAGGAGGTGAAGAGGAGAGAGGAGGTGTAGAGCAGAGACTTTGGGCCCAATGCAACTGAAACACACCAGCTACAGAACCAATGGCCTCAGAAGCCTTGTGCACCAGTGCATGGAGCAACAGCCCAGAGAGAACATAGTTGAAATGAGGTATAAATGACAACAACAGTCCAGGCACTTACAAGGTCCTTGGGAAGCAATGTGCAGCTGTCAGGACCCACCACCGATGTATAATGGAGCCCCCGCAGAGGTGCCTCTGAGACATCTGGATACTCACTTGCCAGGGAAACTCACCATCCTGGACTTCCAGCAGCTCTTGGAATGGCAACCATGACGAGTTGGGAAAGGCTGGTCTGTAGCCACACCGAACTGATTCTGAAACAGAAAGGAAGGAGCCATGGGCACATGAGCTGCACAGAGAAAGCCTCATTTGTCCTATGTTCCTGACACCTTCCCAGCTAAGGGCAGTGCAGAGCCCAGTGAGGTCAAGTGAGTGGAACAGAGTCCGAAAGCCCTGGCAAATCCCACTCCCTTTAGTGTCTATTCCTCACTTCCAAAAAGAGCTGAGACCCAGGAGGGCAGGCAGAGCTCCACCAGAAGGCAGGTATGGTTGAATGACACTGGAGGGGCCCAGGGGCCATCAGGAGCCAGGAACCATGTGGTAATTTGGCCAGGGAAAAATTACTATGAAATTACTATGAACAATCACTATAACCGGAAGTAACTATGAAGAGTCAGGCACTCTAATCTCACAAGGATGGAGGAAAAGGGGCTAGGGAGGCAGAGGTCCTTCCTACCACTAGGACTCAACCTCAGTGGAGAGTTCTGTTTCCAACACACTGGGAGACAGAAAAGTCTGCTAGGTCACCCAGGCGAGAGCTGATGTGGAGGCTGACAAAAGGAAGAGATAGCTCGCACCAGCCTTGACTGGGTGACACTTGACAGATTTGCAGGCAGAGTGCCCTTAACAGCATGAGACCACCCAGAGGCCAAGGCAGGTCAGGGTGTTGCTCACGAGCACTGAGAGAGTCTGGTCAGACTGCGGCCCAGGGCAGCAGTGTCTTAAGGTCTTTAATGCCACAGGCTTTCTCTTGGCTATGGCTAGCAGATGTGGGGTGTAGCCTCACAGGTATGCAAAGCAGGCAGGCTCTAGAGGGCTCAAGCTCTGCTTGTTTGGACTATGTTTAAAACAACTGGATGTGTAAATAGTGAGTCTGGCATTGCAGGCTTTTGAACAACAAGGAGCCAACTTGCTGCAAGAAAATGAACAACTTAGGGGCCAACAGACAGAGGCCACCTTGGTTTATTTACATAGCAGGGGTCACTGAAGTGGGGACAGGGCTTGAGGGATGTGTGGCTGGAGCTGAGCACCACCAGACATTCCCCCATACACACATCCTCCTGGCCACCATGCTGTAGGAGCAGGAGGCAGAAAACAGACACAGGTCAGATGACATCCGGAGGAGATGCCCCTTCCTTTGGCAAGTACCCTCCTGCACCTCACACTGACAAAGCTCAGTGTGCTGGCTGCAAAGAAGAATGCTTAGAGTCCAGAGCAGCTGAATTTGGACCTGGGAGGTGATACACTGGGGGATCCAATATACCAGGATCCAAAGAAGGTGTGAAGAGGATGGGGAGACTAGAATGGGCACAGGTGAAATGCTAGACAGGGGCCCAATCTCCAGCAAAGAGATTCTTGAAAGAATCCTAAAAACGGTCAGCCCAGGAAAATGAGAAGCAATAAAAAGGGGTTTGGTATAGAAATAATTTAATAAATATCACATATATATGAAAAAGCAGCTAAATTTCCCAGGTAAAACTCTGACTTGCTTTGCTGGAATTGTAAAAAAACTATAAAATGACTTTGAAGAGGAGGTTTCCAGGCCACTGTATCCCCACCACCACCCCAGCACAGAGGAAGTGAGACACTCCCAGCACCCAGGAGGAGGCTTCTGGGCCACCGTACCACACCCCCTCAGCCCAGAAGAGGTGAGATGCTCCCAGCACCCAGCACCCAGGAGAAGGCTTCCGGGCCACCATACCACCATACCTCCTCACCACAGAGGAGGTGAGCCACGCAGGCACCAACAGCACCCAACCCCCCAACCCCGTCAAAATGAGAAGACATGTAAACAAGTCTCAAAACAAGACTTTCAGATCACCTAAAGCAGCCCCAAAGGGAAATGAGATGGAACACTCTGGTACCTGGACTCCCTGAACTGGCAACAAAAGAGGATCTGGGAAAAATGAAATCAGAAATAAATTTTCAGATAACAGCAGGGATTGTGCTCATAGTGCAAGACATGACTAATAAATCTAGAGATGACACAGATAAAAAAAATAGAGGAGCTGAGGAACATGATGGAATCCCAACATAGGAAACTAATGGAATCCATAAAACAGATGCAAACAGATTTCCAGGAGATTAACAAAACTCCATTGAATGTTTACACAGCAGAATGAGCCAATGTGAGGACAGAATTTCAGATAAAGAGCATACAATTGTAATTAGTGAGCAGGAAAAGAAAAAAATTTTTTAAATAGTAAGGGGCCACAAGAAATTAATCCAGCAGCTGCTAGATGATGCAAAGAAAAATAACATAAGACTGATTGGAGTCAATGAAGAAACATGAGAGAGTACAGAAAAAAACTGTTCACAGAAGTAATGGCAGAAAACTTCCCAAGCAGGGGAAAAGAATTTGACATACAGATAAGTGAGGCATGCGGGACTCCAACTAGCCTTGATCAAAAAAAATCTACACATAGGCATATAATAGTTAAGATTCCAGAAACCCAACAGAAGAACAAAATTCTACAAGCAGTTAGAGAAAAGAAACAAATCACATACAAAGGAAAGCCCATCAGAATCACAGCAGACTTCTCAATACAAACCCTCAAGGCAAGAAGATCTTGGAGTGATGTATTTCAAGTCCTAAAGGAAAACGGCCTCCAACCCAGATTTATGTACCCTGCAAAACAATCTTTCAAAATTGATGGAGAAATAAAATACTTTCATGACAAAGAACACCTCAGGAACTTCGTGAATCTCAAACCAGCACTCCAAAAAAATTTAAACAATATCTTAGGAAAAGACAAAGAGGATTACAACCACATGAAACCCAGCAGAATGAATCCATCAGGCAAGACAAGCAATTAAATGAAAAGGCAGAGAATCCAGCAAGAGGAAAAGGTCATAACAAGGAGAAGTCAATACATATCAGTTATAACCATCAGTGTTAACGGTCTCAACTCACCAATCAAAAGAAATAGACTGGCAGAATGGGTCAAGAAGCAAGATCCAACAATATGCTATATACAAGAAACACACTTAATTCAAAAAGAAACTCATAGACTGAAAGTTAAAGGGTAGAAAACAATACTCCATGTGACAGAAACCTGAAAAAAAACAAGAATAGCTATCCTATTTGCAGATAAAATGGATTTCGACCCAACACTAATTAAGAAAAACAAAGAAGGCCACTATATCCTTGTAAAAGGATATATGCCAATAAGTTGGAAGATACAGAAAAAATGGACAGATTCCTACATATGTATGAATTACCAAAGCTGAACAAAGAAGTCCTAAAAATTCTAAACAACCCAATATCAATCAATGAAATTGAAAATGTAATTAAAAACTTGCCAACTAAGAAAAGCCCGGGTCCTGATGGCTTCACTGCTGAATTCTACAAGACATTTAGAGAAGAACTACTGCCACTACTGTTTAAACTCTTCAATGAAATTGAAAGGGAAGCAATACTCCCAAACTCATTCCTGGAAGCAAGCATCACCTTGATCCCCAAAGCAGAGAAAGACCCAACCAAAAAAGAGGCCAATCTCACTAATGAACATAGATGCAAAAATCTTTAATAAGATACTGGCAAATAGAATGCAGAAGATCATCAAGAAGATCACACACCCTGACCAAGTGGGATTCATCCCAGGGATGCAGGGATGGTTCAACGTACGCAAATCAGTAAGTGTAATACACTATATCAATAAAGCCAAGGAAAAAAAATATGATCATCTCAATAGATGCAGAAAAAGCATTCGACAAAATCCAACACACATTTATGATAAAAACCCTACAAAAAATTGGAATAGATGGTTTCTACCTCAATCTGATAAAAGCCATCTATGAAAACCCATCAGCCAATCTCATACTAAATGGTCAAAAACTGAAATCCTTCACACTAAAATCAGGAACAAGACAAGGATGTCCACTATCACCACTCCTGTTTAAT